CACTACCCCTTTATCGCTTGTCATCTTGAAGCCGTAGCTACTTGGGATCTTACTTTATAAAACTAAGACTGAATACCATAGTTAGTAGTAGCTGCCTTTGATAGTGATCCCTGTAAAAAAACGCAAACATTAACATGATTTGAAGAGATCTAGTTTCGTATTTTTAGAAAAATCATCAAAATTTAATTAATTCCAATAATGCGTTAAAACAATAAAATAACTACACTTCAAATTCTACTATGCAGGAATAACATCTAATGCCATTTACTTAAACATCAACAGCTTCAGATTTTTAAATTGTTTTTCAAAGTTGCAATTTTATTGCCGATTCAATGGCTGAATAATTCCAATTAAATGGCTCGGTATTGAGGCAAGACCGTTTTGAAATATTTTTTCCTTTCCACACAACGACACATTTATATAACAGAAAACCGAACTATTTAATTAATTCCCTAACGTGGGATTGAAACTGATCAATATGTGCTTAATAGTTCCACAAATAATTGATAAAATCGTGAATAACTTGGACCGCTCCTTCAATTTATCGGTGTAGTAAATGAAATTAGAATTTTTAAATAGTAGTCATGTTTACAAAATGAATGAATATGCATTAAAATTGAAAACTTTTGAAAAAAGACTCAGGAAGCCTATGCATGTAGGAACTATGTCAAGCAAACTTGAAATCTTAAATACAATTTTAACCAGTTGTTTAATGCAATAAGCAACAACATCGATCTGCGGCAAAGTGAAAAAACAAACTAAACAACGAAAAATGTACAAATTAATTTCGATTACTTAAACTCAAAGCGAGCGACCTTAATTCAATTCTGGTGTCGGCTATGGCTTTTTAAGGCTATTTAATTAATATTTTTGCATTAATTAAGGCATGAGTAAAAGTGGCGCAGTATCGAGGATCAATTCGAACTTCACCTTAACGTGTATTCGGTTGTGTCCACTTTTAGAGCGGGGTGGCTCGTTTTCACGTTTACAACACCAAAAATACAATTAAAACAACAACATATAGCTGAAAGTCACCTTTAGCACTGTTAAATTTAAAATAAAATATTATTCGCTAGTTAAATCATGAAGAACCCACCTAACACTTGTTTTCTAAAGGTTAATAATTAATAAGTAAATATAACTGTTTACGTATAGAGGAAACCTGGGACGTGATGTTGTAAAATCAAATCGATGAGTAATTGAGAGATATTGTCATTGATTTCCGGCAAGAGCTTTCATTTAATGGAACAAAAGAGTCATAAAACATCTGGGATTAGTGGGCGTTGTCAATCTTCATTTCTTCAGTCATTAAATAAACAATTCGCCAATTTCTGTTCATTTGATTAATCCATATATCAGAAATATTAATAGACGTTTCCTCCTCAACGAGGCTCGCTATCGCTAAAAGGAGTAGCAATTTTGTAACTGAACATTATACTTTTATAATTAAATAAATTAAATATACAGTAGACGCATACGTTTTTGGCTAAGTCACAATCAAGCACTCCCAGGACCGGTTGATGATGATTTTGTTTTATGGCACTGCTTTAAAGCAACTGGCCAGCATTCTTTATTATTATTATTATTATTATCATCATCATTATAATTGTTTTTATATTATTTTCTTCTCGATTATAAATGTCGGAAAAAAAATTACGAAAACGAATATATATACACAGTTGCTCATTAGTGCGTCAAAGTGCGATATCTCAGTAAATATGAACTTTACAAGAAAATACGTCCTACGAAAGTTTTTCATGTTTAAAAGGTCC